TCCACTAATATTAGCTTAAAAAATTGGATGATCTCAATAAATTTGTTTTTTTAATTTCTGGTTTAATACATTCAACCATTAGATGGAGTACATAAGAGCTCAATGCCAGCCAAGGGATGGAAAATTGCTTGCAATTGGTCACTCAATGGGGGGTATATTGTTGTATGCAAGGCTTTCACGTTGCTGTAAGTCCCATGGATCTGCTTCTGTTTTATTTCTTCTGCAAGTAATGTAATTATGGGACTCTGTTTTCATTCACGATTTATTTGATAGATATATGAAAAATCCATATTTGCTTGTTTTGTGGTGCAAGTTTGTTCACACAAAATTTATCAAGGTTGCTTTGTGCATTTCACTTTCTATTTTAATTTGATAGTATATAAAAGTTTAGCAATAAAAGCATGCAAAAAGGTAGCAACAACCTTAATTTTACTTCGACTTCACTGCAAGAAAGAATCACTCTATTCTAGAATTTTCATAAGTCAAATGCAGAACTCTTCTTTAATGTATGGATTAAATAATCCTTTTGTAATGGTAGTGGCAGTCAAGTGCTTGCAATTACAGCATTTAATTCAGTCTGTATCATTTGAAGGAAATTATGAACCATATTGATCTTGAGCATCTTTGACTTTGTCCATTCCTTTTTAATTGAGTGACATATTTGGAACTTAATTATTGTACACATCACTATTTATTAACAAACAAAATAAATTTTAGTTGTTTTACCACTACCATTGTGTACTTAATATATAAATATCTATAGCTATGCACATGATATTCCCTCTTTTATCTTGTGATAAATTTTATGGACAGGTTGAGATCTTGTGTGGAAGGAACATTGTTGTGAATAGTGATTTGTAAAGGAACCTGTTTGCAAATTATTTCTGCGAATCAATGTGTTGATCAATATTTATTTTTTCTTTTTCCAACATAAATTATGTTAGGTTTTGAAGGAAAGGATTCTGGCTTGGCATCTGTTGTTACTTTGGCATCATCACTTGACTATACCCCTTCAAAATCATCTCTCAAGTTGCTTTTACCCCTGGCAAGTGTTTAAGGAAACTGATTGTGTGGTGACAAATTTTATTTGTTTTGATCCGTGCCAGTAATATGTACCTAAGCTAAAGATACAGAAAAACTAAGATGACCATGCCTTCTTTTGCAGGCAGAACCTGCTCAGGCTTTGAACATTCCTGCTATTCCAGTTGGGCCATTGATGGCCACTGTTTATCCCCTTGCAAGCTACCCTCCGTATGTTTTATCTTGGCTGAATTCTCAGATTTCAGCTCAAGATATGATGGATCAAAAACTGTTTGAGAAGCTTGTTTTGAACAACTTCTGTAAGTTCCATTTATTTTTCATCAAGCATTGTTTCTCAACTTTTTGTACTGAGTCCTTTCAACTACATTATGCACTTTAGCAAAAGAATTCCTTATGAAACTATACACAGTACATTGTTACATGTCTTATCAAAATTAAATTAAGAGATGAAACATCCCCTGTATCTTATTGTAATTCTTCAATGTGCATACTAATCTGTGCAACAGTCATCTCTATAATTTTTTGAATGCTACAGTTAATTGATTTGTGAAGCTACAGCCCTATCTGGATCTTGTACTTACCTAGTTTCATCTCTATCAAGCTAAATGCTATTATTAAGATGTTCCACGTTGTGATAATTGTTAGATCTTTCAGACTTTACTTTGGGTTTTCTGCAAGTTCTTAAATAGTGAGATCTATGATGCTGTTGCAAACTTTTTCTCTTACAAAATTTGTATTGTTCTCTTATTGACAGGTACCATACCTTCCAAGATTCTGTTGCAGTTATCATCAGTTTTCCAAGAAGGTGGTCTACGTGACAGGAGTGGAACATTCTTCTACAAGGACCATCTCTGCAAAATTGATGTTCCTGTCTTAGCCGTCGCTGGTGACCAAGACTTGATCTGTCCACCCGAAGCTGTATATGGTATTAAAACCAAACCATGAGAAAAAAAATAAAAATCTATGAGCATACTATTTAACACACTTTTCCACACATTCTCTTATTAGTTGAAATTCATCTTAGTCTCACTAAACATTTGGGTCAAATTTCTCAATTGTTTGGCTTTATTCCCAAACTAGTGAGACCCACATGAATTCAACCAGTAAGAAAGAGTGAGTTAGAAAAAAGATTGTTAGAGAGTGTGTTGTTTGTTAGTACTCATCATCATCATCATCATTATCATCATCTTTTAAAGATTTAGCTTTCTTTATCCAAAGAAAAATATTTTAGCTTTTGTGATGATGAATATAACTTGTAATGATAAATGTGAATCAGAAACGGTGAAGCTTATTCCTGAAGATTTGATTACATACAAAGTCTTTGGGGAGCTTGATGGTCCACACTATGCCCACTATGACTTAGTGGGTGGTCGTCTGGTATGATTATTTTATTGAAAAGGAGTTACAGGCACACATAATTGAATCAACTTTAGATTTTTCAATATGGATTTGTTAACTGTCATTGTACTCCATGCTGCAGGCTGCAGATGAACTGTATCCATGTATAACTGAATTTCTCAGTCAACATGACATCGTTTAGACCATTGGCTCTCTTGGCTCATTCTTTTATACATGAAGAACACTAGATGGAAATTCTCATATACACCCTACAAGATCATGCCCTGTATATATATATATATATATATGCACGATCTGTGGTAATACTTCCTGTGTATAGTTAAAGACAATGCATATAGTCAAAGACACTGTACATATGTAGTTCTAAATAAAGCACATAAGGTGAAAGTACATGTTTGAAATCAGGGTGCTAAGAAAGTAGGTAATAGGAATCAAGTGCTTAGTTTAATCAAATTACAAAGTTACAAACTATTCTAGCGATTATTTTTTAAAGCTTTTAATAAAAGAAGTCATTTTGGTATTAAAATAATCTTGTGATCACTTTTTAGATATTTTTGTTTTAAAAGTTGAAGTTGATTTTTGTTTGTTCACAACAAAAAATGTTTTTTTTTTAAAGTTTATCTTATGGAAGCCTTCATAAAATAGTTTCTGATTTTAATCAGGTTATAACAGCTTAAAACAAACACATGAAAAGCTTTAAAAAAAAGTAACTTTTTTTTGAAAAAGTGAGTCCTTCATTAAAAAAAAAGGAGCCTTTTATCAAATAGATCCTTAAGTAGCTATGAATTTTGTTATCTTGACAATTACTTTTCTCTCCAACTACCATCCTTTTCACTTCTTGTGAAGTTTGTAATATAAAAATCCTTTTTTTATGCTTTGGGCAAACACCATAAGAAATTACAACTTTTCTTAATCTTGATAGCTAGTTTTATCATCAGTGTCATCTCAGCAAAACACATTATAAGCAAATGCAGTTTTCTTTTTCTCGAAGGTATTTTTACATCGGATAAGATCCATCATATTTACATAGTGAAAGACCAAAAGGTAATTTTTACTTGCAGTACCAATCATTTGTAGTCATACGTTTTAGCCCAAATAGTATCAATGAATTTTCATCTTTCACAGTGGAGACCAACAGGAAAAGGTATTGCAGCTTTAACAATGCATTACACTTCCTGCTAAAGTACGTTTGGAACTCTACCCTACAATCAATCATAAGAGTAGAAGACAATCAGAAAAGGAAATTCCATAACAAACTTCAGAAGAATGTGAATAACATACAAAAGATGTGTCGGTGAGAGAAATCACATCTAAAAGAATAAACTCAAGATTTAGAAGATCTGAGTTGTTCGAAAAGAGATATCAAAAAATTGTTTTAATTTTGGGTCTTAGACATACATATTTGGCAATATCTTTTTTTCTTTGTTTAGAAATAATTTTGCTTCCAAAAGATTATATAAAGAGGTATGAATTCTATTAATACAAAAGTTACTATTAACAGATAGCTAACTGAACTGAGAGCCCAAAAAATATTAACAACCATGGCCAGCTAACTGTAATAAAGCTACAAATAACTTTAATAAATATTTTCTAAATTTATATTGAAAATGTAGTATTTATTTAATATACTTTTCAAATAAGTAAAAGATAAAAAGAAGTAAAGTACACATAACACATGTATAATAAATCTAATGTACACTACACATACATAGGTATTGCTAAACTCTACACTTGGAAGATTAAGACATGCTACTGATAAAGAAATTAAAAGAAATGTTACTAATGCACTTTCATCGTCATTTTTAATTGATTTTCATGATATTTTAATTAGATTACAAGAATAAGAGCAAGTGAATTTGCTATGAAATTTATATTTGGTTTTTGAGAAAAATGTATTTATATTATACTTTCGGTCCCATTTTGTTTTAAACTGTGATTCTAATACGATGAAATCAAGTTTTCAGTAACAAGCAGACATTTCACCAAGTTAGTAATTTGTGGGGATGTTTTGCGATGTTTATTTTGGATGTTAACTAGAGACATTTTTTAAACATTTGTGGTGCAAGCTTAACACAGCAAAATCTCAGAGACAACCCAATCAAGCATTTATTTAGAAACAACCAGATCCAAGAATCATTCTGCACAACAACCTATGAACTTGCATTCACCATCTCTGCAAACCCACTCCAGCGCAAGTCTTCAAAACTAAAAGAAATTAGTACTCACCCGAACATACCCCATTCTTAATATTAAGACAAAGATTGACAAGTATAAGAAATTAAAGCACATTTTTTCTTAATTTTTTTAAAAGGGCTAATTTTTGTAACGGAAGTTAAGTTATGCTTACCTTCAATCAAATTCTGAACAAAATGGTTTTAAACTTACTCTGATGTAAGCAATCAACCCAATTTAAAAAGGAGCATTGTTTTGAGCTCATGAGGGTTTCTTAATGAAGGTTAGGACCAGACAACATGGAATTGCACAGTACAAAAAGGAAGAGTAAGTGGTCATTTATGAACTTCTTGTTTACCTGGCAGCATTCAAATTTCATACCCTTATGAATAATAAGCAAAAAGCACTGTTCAGTTATGAGGCCATTAACAAATATAACACTTGCAAGAATAAACTGTGGACTCCTCACTATGGAAGCCAAAAGTTTTATAATATATGATGATTGGTTATGCTGCATATAAAAACTATACATCAATTTAAGGGTAAAAAACATGAGGATAGTGCCACTTAGGGTCGAACCACAACTTCTTGCTTACAAACTGGACAGAAGTTTTTATGCACAAGCCACTGTTTTATACACTGAAAGTGATAGCTGTGATCACACTTCAATTTCCCCAACTCATCACCTGCTTCATACTCCTCCTGATCACACAAACAAAACACATTAACATAATGTTCAATTATTTAAAAATTAAAAATACCAGTTTTTTTTAGAACAGAAGCATATAGTTTTATACATATTATGGTGTTCTTATTTAATCAGAGTTGAAATTTAATTTTGATCATTCACATAAACTAAAGTAAAAAACCAATTGTAATTAGAAAACAACACAACACATTATATGAAATTTATATTTTAGCTACTTTACAAATTTTACTCATTTTAATCCTACACAGTTAATAAAATTATGCAGTTTTCATACTATATATTAAGAGAGTAAAACCATCTTTTACTAAGTATGAAAGCTAAAACTAAGATGTCTATATGAACTAAAACAAAACTAGGTATTTGTAAGAGTAACATATTTAACTCGACTTCCTGCAATGCTTATAAAGCAAATGATAATAATGTAACTTTACAAGCTCACCTGACAGACACTGCACTTTTTGTCTTCTTGATGCTTTGATGCATCATTTGAACTTGGAAGTTTAACTTTTCTTATGTTGTGTCCCATCTCATCTTCTTTGAGTCCAGTGCTGACATGACCTATTCTCTCACCCAGCTCAAGCAATTGCTGTTGCACAGACAGAATTTGTTTACAATAAACAGTGAAAATGTATGCACAGAGAGACAAAATCCTTTACAAAATGAAAACAATAGAAACCTTAGTAACTAGAGAAAGGAACTCTGACCTCGTATGACATGTTATCAACATCAAGTCTCCAGTCTCTAAATTGGTCGTGCGAGTTAAAGCGACCCCCCATTATTATTCTTCTTCCTCGGATTATCATTATCTTCAAAGTTCCAATAACAATCAAGATATACAATATATCACTTCCTGAATACAATAATAACTAAACCAAGCATTCATATCTTATATTTGTGACGCTATGTTTCTATACACAAGTTTGTTCTTGTTAATAAATCAAACCCTTCAATAACAAGCCTTAGTAATTTGTTTACACATGTAACCCCAACACAGGAAAAAAAAAACAGCATAACAAAACATAATTCAAAATTGTGAGAAAGCAGGTAGCACTAAAATTAAAATGACATACTTTAAAATTTAAACATGAAAAAGTGCTGTTTGTAATTTCATTCCAATTTTTAAAAAACAAGAAGATCCCCTTTTTAACTCTTCTTACTACATATGGAATTTTGTTTCGATTTCAATAGAAATAAACAAATTATAAGAGCTGTCACCTCAAAGGTGAAAACTGATGTGATAAAAACCTAATAATAGGTACCTAGTCAAGACATCAGAAAAGGTTAAATCTTCAATATACCAAAATAGGAAGTTTTCATCCAAGAGGGAGTGCATTTACCCTTGTTTGTCGACTATGAAGAACCCTTTTTACCTCATTTGCAATATCAAACGCTTGTTCTCTCTGGTGCCTTTTCACTGCACCCACCTTTCTGTTTTCCAACTATGATGCCTTAGGTACATAAAAAACAATGGGCTTGGGCTCTTTTTCTTCCCTTGTATTTAAAGATTAGTGCCTTTTTTAAAAAAAATTCATTTCAATTTAAATTTTATATAAAAGCAAAATAATATTTTTCCATTTTTAAAATATTTTATAAAAAAAGAAAAGAAATTAGGCACAAAATGTATAAAAGTCTAGAAAAAATAGAGTCAAAATCTCAAAGCAATGCAATATTTTCCACTGGCTGTACAAATACCATCATTCTATCTACAAATTTGCAGAAACTTAATCATTATATAATGGTGTCACATGCTATTAAATATTTTTCTTATTTAACCTGGATAACGAAGATATATTAACCTAAATTATAATGATTTCATTATTGATTAAGTTTATTATTGCTTTTACTTTTTTATCTTCTTATTTGCCTTGGCCCTCATAAAAATTTCCTAACTTCATTCATGAGACTTGGCAAATACTCTCTTATTATCCAATTTTTAATATAGACATATTTCTAAATTTAAATATACCTATTAAATACTCTCTCTTTTTCTTTTATCTATTTTCTTATCATATCATATTGTTTAACAGCATATACTGCAAGAACATGTAACTCACTTTGATCACATTCCTACATTTGAAACAAGAATGTTGCAATACCACAATACATGGAAGACTCAGAAGTTATGATCATCAAATTCAATGACAGATCATATACCAATTAAGCAATAGTTCTTATATAGAAAATCCAAAATTTGCTCCAAGTGTCTATGTATAAAACATGCTCTGTAATCCATTAAAGTTCACAACATGAATACATAAACATCAAATAATTTATGCACTGATAGTATAAAGAGCTTTTCCACTATCATGCTGTAAGAAAATCCCATTTGTTAAGTTTATGGTCTTGCATAAGCGAATTACTCAGAAGACATCTCTACCACCGTTTCTGAGAGATTGACAGTGAAAAGGTTTACACTTTCCATACAAAAAGGTTAAACATTTAAACTTATAATGAAAGGGTATAAGAACAAAAACCAACCTCAGGAAGACCATCAGGAGAAGGATGTGGAACGTGGCGATAGAATCTAGCAGTTCCAAAAGGGTCTAACCCAGTACGTGCTGTGAAGATATCAGATTCATCATCCAGAAAAGAGAAATTTTCTGGCTTTACAATGCGCCTTCCAAAGTAAGATGAACGCTGCCATGATATTTATGAAGCAGAGTTAGACCATGTCAGAGCAAGTAGAGACCAAAACAATGACGAAACTTAACTAACCCAGATGGATCAAAAGTCTCAACTTCATTGTGTGTTGTACAATAGGATAAAACAAACAACTAAGAATGTTAGTGATGATAATGAGTGTTCTCTTTCACTTTATGTCTTCAAGGGGTCCACGAGAAAGCAATCAAGAACTCCACCATGTGTTTGTGACTTGACTAGGAAATGGGATGCGTACACGCATTGAAGATGCTGGTAGCTATTTATACATAGTTCTGCATCTCGTAAGCCATCTTTTTAATCTTTGTCCTAATTACTAAGCTAGAGAGTAGATGATGTCTTATATGCTTTTCCTTGCATGCTTCTAAGACTATTAAGATCAAGAGGGAAACTGTCATGTCATTGTAAGAATTTGTGTGCATGCTTCTAATTCATATCTATCTATGCACCGACAAACTACTATGCTAAATTTATTAATTATTTTTAAAAATCATAAGTAATTATTTTACTGAGTTGATATGTAAACTACAATAACCCTTCATGTCTTGTATACTAAAACTAATGCCTTCTAATAGTACAAATATTTATTCAAACTAAAAAAGGAACAGTCAGTACAAATATAACATCTTTAAATTTTTAAAAGAATACCTAATAAAATATATGAAACACTTAATAATTATTAGCTTTTAATATAAAAAACAATTTTAGAATTTTTGACAGTTAATTTAGTCAAATCATTGATGTCGTATTTCTTGTATAGTATATATTTTTCAATTATTTTATATCTCAGTTTGTTTTAGTTAGAAAAGAAACACCCTTTTCATGAACATTACATCATAATCAATCAATCAACTAAACAAGGCAAACCAAAATGATTGATGATCTTAACACGCCCTAAGGATCAATTTTCTCCAAGTTAGTAACATGACAAACACATCCAACCACAAAAACTAGTTCATCATACCATAAGAGGCGTTATCATGCTCAGAATTTTTCACATATAGAACAAATTAAAAATCAACTTACACAGTGAGTTTATTAACTTTTACGCTACTTGTAGTCATAAATTTCACATCAGTTGAAAGTGCAAAATTTCATTGGTAACACAAAAATTAAAGGTCTAAATGATTGAAGAGGAAAGAAAGACCATTGTGAAAAATTGAGAACAGTATTGTACCTCCCTCTCCACCACATCAAGTTTTCCTCTTGCAGAAACATCCTTCCTAGCCACAACACAGTCCACAGATGCAGCAGCAGCAGCAGCATCTGTTGAGAACCCAATACCGGGACCACACCAAACATCCTGAAAATCCACACATGTTCCACCAGAAACATCATCAACAACCCCATCACATGTCTTGTTACTGTTACTGTTACCGTTCCTCTTGTGCTTTTTCTTCCTGTTCCTCTTTCCTTCCCAATCCGCCGAGGACCGGATCACCGTGGGCACAGAAACCTTCTGTGATGCTCTGACAGTGCAACCGAGTCCTCTGAAGCTTGCAGTAGAGAATTTTTTGCTGTTTTTGGTGCTGTTTTGGTCTCTGACATGTGTGGCTTCATTAGAGGTGGAGAATGAAGATAAGAGAGAGGAGATGGTGAATTTGGTGTGAGATGATTGAATTGTAGAAGGGATTTGAGGGTTTGGATCAGTTTCTGAAATGGGGCATCCGAATTGGTTTCTTGGTCTTCTCCATTTCATGTGTTCAGTCACAACAGGCATGGTTTAGAGAGAAAGGGAGAGAAATAAATGGTGTTAAGAGACTTTGAAAAAGGACTGAAACATAATCTTGAAACTGGTCTTGGAAGCAAAGGAACTGTCTAGTTATGTGGAACTCAGAGAATGTGGATTTATATTTTCCATGGTGAGAGGACATTAAATAATAGAAGAATGGTAAATTTTTATCAAACAGAAACATTTGAGAGGACAGTTAAACTGCAACTTGACAAAGTAAACCTTCAATTTCATCTATAAAGTATTATTATCTTGTACACTGTCCTTAAAATAAAAATAACATATTTTCAGTATTAAAAATCATGTTAAGTAGCTCTTGAACTGTTACATATGTTAATACAATCAAGAGGGTTACTCGGTAAAGATACTTAAGAGGGTGAGATTTCCAACTAATTATTCATGCATCTTATTAACAGAGACAGCATATAACAGAAGGATAGGATGTGGATTGATTAGTTTTGAGATAATGTTTTTCTTTTTGATTTATATAATTGTGCGAGTTACTTTCCTTAATGTTGTTGTTTGTTAGGTGGGACCAGGTTTGTCTTGTTGTTGGAATTGTGGGCATATGCTCTTATTGAAAAGGGGTGTGTGAGGCCATGGAATCTGACTACTTTTGCTTCTTTTTGTGCATTTTAAGCCAAACTGATACAACACATCAGAGCTAAAGTTGGAAAACCCTTCTTCTCTGATTGTTCTTGGAGTGTAGTGTTTTGGCTTGTGGCTTCAATTAGAATGGAAAAGATGTAAAGGGGGCACAAGAGACCAATGGATCATATCTTATGCCATAAAAACATTAAATAATTAGATGACACTGCAGAAAGTTAGATTTCAGAAAAAGGGTCCCATTCTGAAATCACAGGGTTAAAATCATGAATGTTTTTTGGATGTAGTGTGTCACACCCTTCGTTTTACTTGCACAGAATCATAAATGGTTTGTTATCATGTGTTGTGGGGTGCCTTAGATTTTGACCCAAGAAAAAATGTCTTGTCTTTCATGTAAAGCAACCTTGCTAGCTGTAACTTCCATGCATTCATTTTCGTGAAATTATGAATTATTTTTGCATACATATATTCTACCAAAAGTGATATGTGGATGATGGAGAGAAGAAGGCAACAAAGAAAAAGAGAATAAGTGAAATATACTACAAAAATATTCTCCTAACTATTTCAACTCATTTCACTGTTTGTCATTCCCAATGTGAATGGGTCATGTTATATGCACTTATATTATTAATTATATAAACTTGTCTTCACTTACACTCTATGAGAATAGATATATTCTATGTATAAAGTGAATTCAAATATTCTATGTATAAATTTTTAAATTATGTCTTTTAAAATTTTAAAAAATGTCTGGAGGAAATCAAGTTAGCATTGTAATGCAACAATATAGATAAAATACAAAATAATGTGTTTAATTAAACACAAAAATTGTTAAGAAGTAAAATATATTTAAATACTCTTAATAAAATATTATATTTTTCGCTGTCTATAATATTTTTCAAGATTTTAAAAATGGAGAAGGACAAAAAACCATTATTTTAGGTATGCATGACCTCTGAGGTTACATATGACTTTAAAAGTGATAGGTATATATATTGTATAAAAGTGCTTATGCTTGGAAAATGACCCTTGACCCGTTACGAAAGGTTTGTGTGTTAATTCTCTACACATTAAGGTTATTACCATTACCAAATATATGTCTATATATCTTTTCAAATCATGTGAAGTGTATGAAATGTAGTGTGGCTATAAACAACATTCAATTGTGCAAAACTATAGAATAATGGAAGAAATTTAGGTCAATTTAAAAAGTTCTAATTAAATTTAAAAAATAAGTAATTTAAAAATTTTATTGTATTTAGGTCAATTGTCTTAGAAAATATCACTTTAAAAGGAAGAAATTGTGTTTCCAAACACAAATTTGAATTAAATAATTATAACTTATGTTTCAAAATATAATTTCTTATATTGATGTATTTTTTTTTTGTTAGAGTGATATCAAAACGTAACTTTTATTTTATTTTTTAAATGTGGAAAAAACGTATAAACATAATTCTTTTTTATTTTATGGAAATTTTGTTTTCGTGTACATTTTTTTTTTGCTTACAATATTATTTTTAATGTGAAACTCTTCCACGAACATATATTAGTAGAAATTTGTTGGTTGAATTGGATTATAAAAACAATATGTAAAATTGAATAATAAACTTGAAAATCACGAGTAAAAATCACATAAACTCTTGACGAAAGAGAATTAAAACTTGTTATAATTATGGAAACTTTCAATGATAAGCCTCCAAATTCTGTGATAATAACACATAGCACCATCATCTTTGTGGTTTATTTAGGATATAATATTACACATATTTAAAATAAATAAACATGTATAAGGAAGAAAATATTTTTCAAAACATGATTTTCTAATTATTTTATAAACATTTCTTCATTTTTAAATTGTGTTACCTACCTATACACCTATTTTTTTTT